AATTTTTTTCTTTTCCCTCCAACAGCGCAAATCGTGCATATTAATGAGGGTAGAGGCAAACTAGCGCTTTCTAGTACGAAACACAATGTTTTTTCTACCCCACTCTTACTCCTCCACAATTAAGTTATTACCCTTTTTCCTTATTTTCTTTTATTTTCCCGGCCCCTCCCGCGGTAAAAGGGTCATTAACACGGTAAAAGTATCCCGTGTAACCACACCTAATGTTCAAATGAGTTTGACTCTCACATGAGTTCCGCGCGCGGCGCCATCTTTATCCTTGGTTGTTCCAAAGATGGATAGCGCTATCCATCGGACAAATCGCTACCCATCAGATACGAATTAGGGAAGCCAATTGCGCTATCCAGTGGATAGTTATTTATCTAGTGGATAGCGCTACCTACCTTTCCAACAACTGGCGCGAGGTTGGCTCATTATTTTGCCAATCTCAAGAACGTCATCGATAGTGCGTACTACGTCTAAATTGACAGTGCTTTTATAAAACCGTTTTGGTTGGCGGGAATAAGTAATGGCATTACTGATTGTAATCGTCTTGCGATAGTTTTCGACGCAATATTCACATTCACATTAACCAAGGAAATGGGTCTCCAATTTTTAGGAAATCAAAAATTGAAGTCATTTTCTTGGTATAAGCACACTTTAGTTCTCTTAATGCTTTGTGTAGTTTTTCGCTTTTTTCGCTTTTTTTCTCGTATATTCTTGCATTATTTTTTCTCACCTTTTCTTTTTCGTTTTTGCACTTGCACGTTCAGCATAATCTATTTTTATCCTATCTAATTATTATTTTCTATAATAATCATGATAATAATAATAATGAGACATTTTATAAAGCGCCCTTTTCCTATTTACAGTTAAATAAAAAAATATTAAAACTAAAATCAAAGTTAAAAACTAAAGATAAAATAATTTAAGATATAAAACACCACTGTCACGTCATCAATTTAAAAAAGCACGTCTAAAAAGGACAGTTTTCAACTGTCTTTTAAAAATGTCCAGAGATCCAGCATCCCTAATATGCTGAGGAAGACTGTTCCAAAGAAGTGGTGCAGCTACAGAAAAAGCACGACGGCCATAACTGTTTACATTAAAAGCAGCCACGGAAAGTAGATTTTTCTTTGAAGACCTAAGATCCTGTGTCGGGAGGCAACTTTGAAGAAAGATCTTGAACATAAGCAGAATCCAGTCCATGGGAAGTCTTGTAGGTAACGATAAGTATTTTAAATTCAATCCGAAGATCAATCGGAAGCCAGTGAAGATTCGCAAGAACAGGTGTAATATGACAGAGCTTGGGCGAAAGAGTACACCAGCAGTTACGTTCTGCACACGTTGTAGCTGTTTAATAACGTGCTTAGGTAAACCAGATAGTAACAATTTACAGTAGCCAAGGTTTGATGTGACAAGTGCTTGATCAAGAAGCTGGGCTGCATCAACGGTGAGAATTGTTTCCGAATGAAGCTATTTTTACGGAGATGATAGGATTCCGATTTGCACATTGCTGTCACCTGAGGAAATATACTGAAAGATTCGTCGAAGAGATCTCATCTGCACTCTCTCATCACAAACATGAATATGTGAAAAAGGAGGTCGAGTAGGTGTAAAGATGACATCGGAGGAAGTTCAGTTTTACCTTGTTTAATTTAAGCTTATTCAGAAGCATCCAGGTATCAATTTCTCGTACACAGGCCTCCAACCTACGCTTGCTCAATTCCATATCATTGAGGGATGACATCTCGTATGTTACGTAAAGCTGCGTGTCATCCGCATAAAAGTGAAAACTCAGTTCATGTTTACTGGCGATATCACTTAGTGGAGTGGTGTACAATGAGTATAAAAGAGGGCCAAGTACCGACCCTACCAAATTGCAGAACACGACGCGCGGAGGTCAATCCATTGGTATTTAGAAACTGAGTGCGATCACACAAATACGATCAAAACCATTCCAATGCCGTACCACCTATTCCAAATCGACGAGAAGGGCGTGAAATAAAGATACGGTGATCCACAGTATCAAATACCGCGGAAAGATCAAGGAGCAGAAAAATCATTGACCTTTTCTGATCTAAGGCAATTGCGATATCATTATGGACACGGATTAGTCTCAGTGCTGTGAAATTTCCTGTACGCTGATTGGTAATAGCAAACCAACTACGCGAACGATTTTGTAAACACTAAACGTAATGCAAGAGAGAAACCTCTACTCGCAGGGTAAATTTCGTGGCGAACTTAAACGGTGAATTTTCGCGAGAACAAAGGACGAAATTTCGCGAAATTCGCTTTCATTACTTTTGCATAGTAATGTACATAACAAAAACAAATGAGGTCCCAAAATTGTTCCTTGATGAACACCGCACCTCAAAAATTTCGGAATAGACTTACATGAGTTAATGTGACAAGTTTGAGTTCGATTATCTGAGTAAGAGGCAACCATTTATAACTGGACCGAAAAATCCCATCGTATTTTATTTTGATCTGCTGTATCATAGGCCTTTTGGGGTATAAAAAGACGGCGTTAACAAAGCCTCGATCAATGTTCATTGCCCAACTATCAGCAGCTCCAATTAGTGCCGTAAGTATGGAATACATGCAGGGAACGACCGATTGATGACTAGTAATATAAAAAAGCTATTCTTTCTTAGATACTGAAGATATTACTGATCGTAAATTATCGGTTCAAACTGAACTTTTGCCACGACTGGAATAGTTTAAGAGTTTCTTAAGGGTTTTTTAAACCCAACACCTCATGGTCGTTCGTATGAAAGGAAAAAAAAATCAATATTTTACATTTGAAAGATTTATTCTCGTTTTATGCTAATAGTACATATATGTGAAGGTTCTAAGTTATACAATCAGAAAATTAATTTCAGCATCATAATGTTATAATTATCAGCATCATAATTATCAGCAACTCTTAAACTATGAAGACTTTTCCTTATCTTGTGATTTGAAAACAGCCATTAAAACTTGGCCAGTACATGCAGGATAAGGTACCTCGTCTACCCTCTAAACATGGATGTTTTACAAACACTATTTAAAAAATTAAAGACTGTAGTGTGTCGACCTATTTTGCATCACGGGTTTCCGATTCAAAGCAAAAGAATTGTAAAACAGTTACGTCAAAATATAACCGTAACTACATTAAAACTGCAAATGAAGAAATGATCGTCGCAGTGAACGCAATTTATGCAACTGCGTAAAGAAGCCTGAAAAAAATTCCGGACTTCAACGGGGTTTGAACCCGTGACCTCGCGATTACCGGTGCGATGCTCTACCAACTGAGCTATGAAGCCACTGACGTTGGGAGGAGGTCAATTGTGGTTTCATATATTCCCGTGAAAGAAATGAGTGTTAATGATAAATGAAATAAATCATATATGAACTGCGGAAATGAAATGGAAATTGAACATATATGTTCAATTGTGGGTTCATATGTTCCCACAACTGAACATATCAACCCACATATTTATCGACTGAAAAATCCCAAAAATCAAAACACTTTTTAACTTTACCATAGTTAACAGAGATTTTACCTGACTCACGCGAGAGTTTCCCCCATCAATTTCCCGCACTAAAATCTTATTTGAGTTGTTCAAGACGTGAAATCCTCATTGAAAACAAACAACAGGGTAGGGAGGGCCGCGTAATGTTGTCCTGTACCAAATACCGTTACTATTCTGCTTTAAAAACAAAAGAGAAGGGGAAGGACGGGTATTTTTTTTTTTTAAGAACGAAATTTTTTGGAATCACAATCTCATGGACTGTGAAAGCGAGTAAAGTAGTTTAAAATATTTATTGACAATTGATCATTGTAAAAAAAAGGAACTCAAAGACTCAAATTCTGGCCTCTGAACATTAATGAAAAAGTCATCAGGTCACCGCGTTCCCACAGGTTTCTCTGACATCATTTGCCTTTTTTTACTAAACAAATTAGTTCACTCGTATGTCAACGACTTGGCCTGTACATATAAAGACAAATCAACGAAGTTCAGTCAAGCGCATGGTTTTTCAAGATTGAAAAAAAAAAAAAAAAAAAAAAAACCGCTATCTTCTTTCTTCTTTCTTTCTGACTAAGTTAATTGTTTTCAATTTAAGTGAAGTCGAACTGACTCCACACCACGTATTTTCCTACAAAACAAGGTCAGTTTCCTGCTTTAAGATCATTAGTTTGCAGAATTTCAAGATAAACAATCTAGCTACGTAATATTTCGAGAAAAACATGCCATACGTTGGTAACAATTAGATATAATGGAAATTCCTTTTCACCTTAAAGCCTGGAGGCTTAAAATGCAAAAACACATTCAATTGTTTTCGAGTAAATAAACTTAAATGTGAAGAGGGCTTTGTTTCCACTACTATAATATCATCCCGAGTTGCAACTATACCGATTTAATAAAGCTGTGTATCAGAGTTATACACTTTGCAAAGATTGCTAGCATTGCAAATACCTGTGATGGTTCAGGTTAAGATTGAAGCATGCAGACGTAACTATAACATGATAACATAACGTACTTTTGTGCTACACTGATAACCGATACTGATACTGATTGGTATCACCTACACGTCAAGCCACTGAGCCACAAACTGCATCTTTGTTGTATAAAAAATACCGCAGAAAATTATAGCATTTTTTAGATTCTTATTTCTCTTTTCTTTTCTTTCCTTTTCTTCTCCTTTTATCTTTTGGATTGTAGGCGAAAATATTTATTTTAACACTTGCCTAAGATGATTACTTAATCTCTGTATACAACGAAAACTACAGCTGCACTTGCTGCACAGCTCCCCGTGCTTTGCTGGACGTGTACAAAACTAGGAAGCTAAAAGAACGATACTGCCGTGAGATCAATCGACAGTATACTTTTGAAAGTTGTTCCTACATTCTTAACTTTTGTTTTCGGACTTATGGTGTATTCTATATGACTGCCTCGAGGATCAACTAAACTGAACATGCAATTGAATCAAAATAATAACAAAGAGTTTATCATATTTTATAGTAAGTCAGCTGATCCTGGAAGTCCGCTCGTGACGAGCCTGTCATAAAGTTCCCCAACCATCAAATAGCGGTGATTCGCAATAAGATCAAGAACAACGTCGCACGGATTGGTGGTTCTCTTATCAAGAAAGCGGATCTCGTTGTAAGACATACCAAAGCTCTCGGCAAGCTGTTTCCATTCTTCTCCACCTGGGAAACAAAAGCGATTTAAATGTTTCAGATTCGTTTTATTGGAAAGTTTATAGAAACAGTTGCGCTTGTGAGGAAAGACCTACTGTTTAGAGCACGGAATGGTATTTTTGTGTGACGTCAGATGCCTCCTTGAAGACAACTGGCCTTTTCTTTCATGTTTGAGCCATGATTTTAATTTAAAACTTGTTGAACACTAAAACAAAAATAATTTTGTATGAGGATGACATGATGTTGATACAAGAGATGCTATTCTTGCATAAAGGAGTGCTTAAGTAACCACTACTTCGATGGCAGCGAAAGTGTGACTTAAGGTATCATCCACCCTCAAGCACCCTCCTCGCGTTGATCGGCGTTAGCGCTTTTACTTTTAATAAATACCCTCATAAACCGTACATCTTCTGAAAGCTTAATAGTTCCAGATTATTGCTTATTCCTTTTAAAAAATCAAAATATTAACGCTATTTAGAAATCAGAAGCTTTTTGTGAAAGTGGGTGTCACTGTAAATTTAAGTCCAGGCCAGCCAAAAATAAAAGGAAGAAGCCAATTAAGATCCAATTTGCTTCTTAGCACGTTTGACTAAAAAACCGTGTCTCAGATTTTTGTCAAGTGCGTTTGTTCTTTGGTTATAAGCAGTTGAAGTTAAGGATAGCAAATCATTAGGACTACCTGTGAAAAAACTAGTCTAACTCGAAAACGAAAAAAGAAATCAAAATTCGCAGACACGGTTTTTTAGAAAAACTATTCGAAAGTAAGTTGGCCAAATTTCAGCCAAATTGGTTCACGGGTTGCCGACTTGGAGTTTAAAACGTACCCTCAACTTGCCCTGATTTTCATTTCGAGAAAACAGTGGAAAAAGAGTTTTGGCGGCGTATTACCCGTGACGAGATTACAACAGATTATAAGACCAAAGCTGTCAATGTTGATGCATACCAGAGAAGGGACAACAATAGTGACACAGCAGGAAAGGGTTAAAAACGAAACCCGACAACAATTTATTTCAAAAGCTCTCCTCTGTTCGATTCTTTCTGTTGTCTAGAAAGCATCCTTACTTATTTGTGACGGGCAGTTTTCATTTTCGCACCGGACAAGCTAAGTTGAGCAGTCCTTCGTCCGATTTTTATATGGCGCGGGACCTCTCGCGACTTCGTCGCCCGCCTGACCTATTCGCGGCCAAAAAAGCTTGCCCCGCCCGGTAAGAAACTCGTTAAACTCGATTCCGCGGTGGTTTCAATGGTTTTTCAGGAGCTTTGTCATCTTTTAGCCATTTTTCTAAATTGTAGTAGTAGCCCTTGTCGCTCTCTGCTAATTTCGAAGCCCACTCCTTGCAAAACGATTTTGTCGCCTTCTTTCGTCTTGGAGTCGTGTACGAAAACGGACAAGCTTTTTTTCCTTCTTCGGAGGCACTCACTTCCAAAATCCAGGGAAAAACAGTGAGTAATATTTTTGTAGACCACGATTTCTGTCAAATTGCGTGATTAGCTTGGTTCAACAGCGACATGCGTATCAAGTATGACAGCACTTGTCAACGATCAATTAAAATAATTAGCATAGAAAAAACTCTTGCGCTCCATAAGTCTGCACAGAAAAAACATTTTTTCCTGGAATTTTTTGTAAAAGAAAGCTCGTGATTAGCTCTATTTAATAATTTAAAAATTGCAAATTTCGAAAAATTATGATTTTTTACCCTGGATGATACCTTAAGGTGGCTCGATAGGCTTTTTCAAGATCAAACGCTCCCAAGTTTGACCCTAAACTACCGTAAATGCTCGAATTAGCTCCCAGCTTCAAATAAGCGCCCGCTTCGAATTAGCGCCCCTCCTAAGGGTTAAAATTTGGAAGAGACGCATACGGTACTTTTAATAAATGTGACATTCGTAATACCGTAAAAATTCCGAAAATAAGCCCCTCCAAAAATAAGCCCCCCAAACTCGTAACGCAGAAGACCCTCCTTTAAATCGCCCCTCCAAATATAAGCCCTCGGAAATTGCCCTCAAATTCAAAATAAAGCAAAGCAAAAACTGTAAAGAAACACGTAAATTTTTGCATTTGCCAAAGAACTATTACGTGTCCCAAATGATTGCAGTCAAAAAGTGTCACAGTATATTGCTGCAGCTGTTTGCGTAGTTCACTTATGGCTTGGATTTCCTCGTTCCATATGCATGGCTGAGTTTTACTTAGATCTACGTCCTCAAGGCGAGTTTCAGTAAAAACTTTCTGCAAATTAGTGGCATAAATTTCCTTCCAACTATAAGCTAGTCCAGTCGATTTTGAAACGCAAATTTCCCTCCTTATATAAGCCCCTCAAAAAGGGCTTTTGAAAAATGTAAGCTCCGGGGCTTATTTTCGGAATTTTACGGTACGACTTTGAAGAATATTAATTTTGTACTACGGGTTTGCTTCTCATTTTCTTCGCGTTTTTGACGGGCAACTCGAAAACGTATTGAGAACGTTTAAAGATTCACAAAAAGTACTTTTCTGCAACGTTTTTTGAATTTTTATATGTTACCTTTTTGGTTAACTATCGAAATAAAGATAGTGCCATTTTGAGGCCAAAAATTGATACACGAAATAAGCGCCCCCCTTTCGCCTTAAAAAAATTATAATAAGCGCCCCGGGCGCTAATTGGAGCATTTACGGTACGTGGCCATTAACTGACAAATTTGGAAAAATCACCACTACAGCTGTATTAGGGCCTGTTTACAAGGAAAGAGGGTTACCGTTTTGCTAGGGTTACCCTAGCAAGCGGGTTAAAGTAAGCTCTGGTTTACAAGCAAATTTCACAGGTAGGGTTACCCTATCATCCGGGTCAACTTTACAAGCTTTGCTGACGTGTTTCGTCATACGTAACATTCTTTGTAAAGGTCCAAAATTTTAAATAATCTTGAAGTTCTCTATGGAAAACACGTTAAGTTTACGACAAAAAGGGAAAATATTATCATCGTAGACAGAACATAAACCTGAAGACACATGTGAGAAGCTTGCAGGACGTTACAAAATAACACTTACCACAAAGACCAAATGTTAGTTCCTTTCTCATCTTAAAAGGAATACAACGCACATCAAGGTTCTCGCTCAATAAGGGACCTGGTTACCAAACAACATGGTGTGAATAAAACAAACTACCATAACTGTACATGCAAATCTGCGTATATACTTCTACATCTCCAAAGTTCCAACATGAACTTTTTTGAACGTCTAAACGTGGCGAAAATGAGGTGCCGGCTATTGTTGAAAATAGATTGAAGTGTTCTTTTGAGTTCTTGCCTGAAAGATGCAGAAAAACTTCACTTACTACTTGGAAGTATCTTTCCTCGTGGTAATAAAATAAAGAAGGAATTTTTACATGGTGTTTTTGTTGTGGACGTACCTGTAGTACCGGCAGGTGCTATAGTCCTCAAGTACTCAATTACGCCGATTCTGTTTTGAGATTTAGCTTTATTAGCTAGGCACCGAATCCATCGTTGCGTCTTTGGCACTGGATTTTCCAGATCTGCTGGAGTTAACTGCAGACACTCTTGAAATTGAACTACAATTTCCTTGGGGTCGCTCTGCTGAGATTGAATGCACTGAAGAACATCATGGGGAAGAGCAAGAGACTTCTCTAGAAATTAAAGAAACATGTTACAACAGAAGACTTCAAGTGACTGCTATTATAAATTGGATTAAAAGAAAGAATAGATAAGAAAAAACACAGGGTTTAAAAAGTACAACTGATCTAAGAGTTCTTGCCTTCTTTGTAAGTTATACAGCATCTCAGTTCTCCTACGTCACATCCAGATTCACATTGCTGCTAGAGAAAAATACAGAATCAACGAATTAAGAATTTACAGTTTGGAAACCCTGAATTTTGTTGTTGTTGTTTTATAGTATATATATTTTTCTCATTACCATAAAGTTGTATTATGAGTCTAAATAATGATATCTTTAGCTACCAATGATTAAGGTCAAAGTGACAAGATATAATATATGTACTCTTTCCTCCCTGAAATAGCTTATGCTTTAATTTTGTATATTGAAGATTTTGAAAAAAACTGCCGTGGTTTTAGTAGTATTCGAGAACACACTCGTGAATTGTATTTTGTACATAACGTTTGCAAAAGACAGATACCAACCTCATTCACTAGAGTCCTACTTTCAGGGCCTGTAAGGGAAAACCAAGGTGCAAACATTTTGATGTTAATTCTGTAATCGCCACGAAAACCAGGTCGGGTGCAGTACTGAAATTTCTGAAGTTCGGATTCAGACAACAAGTGAAGACACTCACAGCCACGGACATCATGAGAACGACATCTGAGAGGATCTTTCTGCGAACACACTGGACAGCAAATGCACATTTCGTACCTCATGTGTTTTAGCCAGCTAAACTCTCTGCGCATGCACTCGAGAATGAGTCTGAGTTGCCAATGAATTGCACGACTGGTGGCTAGATTAGAATAATCATCAATTAAATCTTCCACCATTGCTCCACGAATGTCGCTTCCATCGTGAAAGGCGATCTCAATAGAAGAGGAATGGCACATAATGATGATAGACACCCCTTGATCAGGAAGGATGTGAAACCGAGCAAAATTACTAAACAGCTGGGGTTGTATATGGCTCTTCCACTCCTGGTTGCACCACTGGTAAAACTGGAGAACTAGACGTGTGAACAGGCCCGGAGGCACTCGGCCTAAATCAAACCTCACAAAAAGTGAAGGGATTCTCACAGAGGAAAGGAGCTCAACTAGGTCGTCTGAAGGGGGCGACATCAACATGGACGGCACGAGGTACTGTTTGTGTTCTCCGTCAGATGGCCAAGGACAAAGCAAACTGAATCTCTCCATTAACGCGATAAGGCTGCCACAGGTTTCTTTACTGTACATATCAATCAAAGAGTTCCACTCGTGAACCAGGAGCCTTTCATCTAAGATTCCAGTCTCATGCAGCTTGAGCCAAAATTGTTCAAGGATATATTCTGTCGGCTCATAACGTTTAACAGTGATTACTTTCTTGAAGATATCAATGAGCCATTGGGGGTCTAAGATCACCATGTTGTTCAATTCTGGTGTTTCATTAAAATGAATCAGAACCTTTTGATCATGCAAAAAATCAAGCATAGTCCGAAATTGCTCATCGTCGTTGATCGCACACTCATCTGTTGCAATTTGCTTTGCTTCATTAATGGGCAACCATTTGCACTGCTTTTCAAGTAAAGACCGCAGAATATGTTCAAACCTTAACCACTTCAATGGAACGGCCTCCTGCATCTGTGGAAGACTTTGGGCAACAGAAATTAATTCTTCCCTGAGGCGCACTACCTCTGGACACTCGTCAGTTTCGCTTCCTGACTTCGTATTGTCGACGACAAAAACGTCCTTAAACAAATGGTTTCTATAAGGCTTCTTTTTGAGAAATCCATAGATGTCGAGCGCCAACTCTCTGGGATCCCTGTTCCTACAGTAGGGTTCATCGGCATGAGTACACACCAAAAACACTGGAGGTAATATTGTGGGTGAGGCAAGCGGAACAGATATGTTCTGACCATCAGCATGTGGACCAACCAAAGAATAAACTGATGAAAGCCAAAAGTCAAGATTGTCTAGGTTTGTCTTGTTGCAGTAATTGTCTTCTTTGTTTTTGTACAGCCCTTTTCTCACAACACTGTTAGCTTTCTGGTATGGATCACGACTTAGATCACAAGTTAAAATATATATGGCTCTCTCTGTCAGGAAGACTGGATGGGTAGCATAGTAAACGGACTGTCCACCAAAGTCCCAAATAATGGAGAATAACTCGTCCTTTTCTTCATTCGTTTTCACATTTAGCAGAAGCTCTTTCACTAGCTTTGCTACACGTTCTGGGACTTCGTTTGAAAACGGAAGAGTGCATCTTTCTGTGCTTACCTCTGAGTACTTAAGTGACGCCTCAGGCTTACTTTTGCTTGGTTCCTTTAAAAGTTGTCTCTGAGATGTTTCTTCTTTCGCATGTTGCTTCTCGACATCCTTTAATGCTCCAAATACCGACCGTGCCACATGGTGCTCAAAGTAAGCCTCTGAAAAAGGTTCACTTTCTTTGTCGTTGTCACCTGTTCTCCAAATTTCCGTCGAAACCTTAAAGTATTCAGGATCAGTCGCTATTCCTTCAGTGCTCCGTTCCTTTGGATCGAACTTTTCTCCCTTCAGAGACTTCTTTAGACTGGTCTTCCCTGTCCGATCCTGCCCAATTATCATAACTGGTACTCTTTTGATGAATGCTTTCCCATCCAAAAGAGCTTTGTTGTAGGCTTCAACGGCCGCGGGACCTCGCGCCTGAATATCCAAGGGGGCTATGAAAAAGAAAGAGGCATCAGCTTTATTCTTCAAAGCCAATACCATTGCAATTTTGAAAGCCAGCTTTAAAGCAGTGTTAAAAAGTGCCAAAAAGATGCATGCACAAGCTGTTTTGGTTTTCTTCTCCCTGGCTGAATGATGCTGATCCAGTAGTCGAACCACGAATTCCTTAAATCGTAAGTTAATCTTGCAGCTGTTCGCATAAAGAATCTTGCCGATGAAGAAGTATTTTAATCGGGTCTTGAAGCTCACGACAACTAACAGGCCTAGGATTGGGTTGAAAACTAAACGAACTATAGAAAAATTGCAGCCTAGCCCTGAAACAACAGAGCTGCGTGTCATAACGATGCTAGTTTTTGGCAAGTAGGCCTCTTGGATGTTGTTCTTTCAGAATATCCTGACAAATCCCATAATTTCACAAATTTAATTTTCTTATGACGTCACATTTTAGAACTCTATTTCTCTTAACTTAACTTCTCTTAACTCTAAATCTTTTGGGTACATAGATCTTAAATATATAATTAAGACAATAAAACGGAAATTTAAACATACCCCAACTGGAAAGCCTGAAAAATAGGGAGCCACAGCAGTAGCCACCCTTCATAATTGATAGCCATCAGCAATAAATTGAATTTACATTACCTTCCGGTAGTCTTTTAGCAAATTCTGCAGAAAACAAACGATATAACATCAGTGCAAAATATTTTTCACTACCTCTACACACCACGTTCATGCTTTTGAACCCGGTACTTTAGGGAAAAACCTACTTCTACTTCTATACACTAGAACCATGAAGAAGGGAGACAGAAGTTTCGGCGCGGCGCAGCTTTGCTCCGTTACAGAAATGGCGCCCAAAACACCGTTCTTATGTGTGAACAGGAGCCCTAGAATCCGGTATGGTTTTCGTGCCGGTGCACAAGCTATCCGGTACAATGTAAACATAGCCTCACATTCTTTCATCTGTAAAATTCATTCCTTGAAAAGAATTCTCCAATGGGGCAAAAAGAGCTTGACATTCTGATAACTGAGCTCCATTTAAGGTGACTACGTTATTTTAAAGATATTTCAGGCCGGAATAGTACTTTTCACCTGCTAAATCATATATACTGTTGTATAAAACCATGCCTATAAAAGATATGCTTCATGAAAGTCACAGTCGCAGAGCTGGTTCACCATTGTAGAAAACAATAGATACCTTGCTTAACACAAAGCTCGCAAAGAGTCAACTTCAAAATGAACAAATCTAGATCTTTAGTCTTGTCTAAACGAGTGAGTATATTCTTTTTTATTTTAATCTTAATATAGACATTCGTTACTAAAATATGCTTTATTTCCCATTCTAGAAACTCTTTAATTCTGCTTACTCTTGAAAACTACAAAGTGATCATGATACTGCGAAAAGGTACCGAGTTCCTTTAGGAGTTTTCTTTCTGTTAATGGGACTCTTTTTACATTATAAAGTGTAATAGATTAATTCCTTAATCACACCTAGTTCCTTTCACGCCTTTTATAACTTAGTTAGGATCTCTCTCACAACTAGACATGCAAATACGTGCTCTGCTGATCAGCTTTGTCCATTTACATTTCGCAGGAAAAAGAAAACAACTCAGCTATGGAGAGCAGACAAGGTCATCAAAAAAATCCACGTTCCTTGTCCACCACATATCGATTTGCTACACCTTTTTGTTTCCACCTCAAAATTCATGCTATGCATTACGTCGAATGCAAGACTGAAGAGAAGATCAGAGAACGTTATTCGCGCTCCACAGGAAAGGTTGAAAAAAAACAGGGAAACTAAGCAGTAGCCAGCTACCCGTAATAATATAACAATCAACAATACATTAATTTTACTTCTATAGAGTTCTGCAGAAAACAACGATAAAAAATAGTGCAGAGTATTTTTCTCTACCTAGTAGATTAGCTAGATTAAAGGGACACAGCCACCTTTGTGACCGCGCTGACCTGGACACTACTTTTGCCAGTTTGAAAGGCCTACACCTGTAATTCTGTAAAGCCAATGAAATGTTTCGTTTAATTATTTTTGGGGGGCAAAGCCAGTAGAGATTTTAGGGTAATGATATTGATGATTAAGACGATTTTTAACTTTCGCCAGTCGGTCACTGGTGGGTGTTGGGTGTAAATTAGTACAGTTTGTGGTGTACTGTGTGTTATTTGTCATGATGTCAACTAACATTGAAAAAAATTCAGCTGTTTCATAGGAGGGACATGTTTTAACAGCTTATGGTTTTTGTCTGGTCGTAAGCTTGGCCAGTGTGCAGATCAATAGCTTTTGAAATCCTTTTGCCAAAACACCGGACTTAAGCTTCAGTAAAATATGTATTGATCCAAGTGCATGACCAGCAGGGTCAGCAGTACGAATAAAGAAAAAAAGGCCAAAAGGAAAAATGTGTTAAAAAAAGAGACCAAACAGCGTCGCCGGGAGCCGAACCCAGTTTATCTGCTCGTGCCAGCAACTCCTTGAGCACTGCACCACAGTGACACACATGATTTGAAAAATTAGTTTTGTCTTATCAAAACAATTTTTCTCTGCCATAGACGCTGTTTGAAGCCGGTGGAGCTGTATTTATCATGAATTCAAATATACATTTGAGGAAAATTAGCTCAAGCGCGTATTGCAAAGCTCTTTCGCATTTTTCGGGTTCAACGGGCCGACTTAATGTAGATAATCGATCGAATTAGCTTTACTGAATTTGGTGGTCAAGAGAATTAAGAGATTAACAGAAGCCAATACTCGAAAGGAATAATATGAAGTTAGGCTCATTTAATTAGCAAAAGAATAGATGAAATATAAACATGGGAGATCTGTGAATGGAACCTCCTATTTTGGAGACTAGAACTTGCCAATTTTAGAGAAAAAAAAAGATTCAAGTTTTGATGACCTTGCCGGTCCCGTGAAATAGATGGCGATCCCGCAACACGGCCCGCAAAACAAATTATCAAAATTATACAATTACGAACACAAAATATCAAAACGGTTTACACAAGCTGATTACATGTATAGCAGCACCAAAGATCACACTCATTTGATCAAATTAGCGATATATAGCGATATTTGCTAGCTTCTTAGCTTTTCCTCGACCTCTCTCGTCCAAATTACAGTCGTATCCCTTGCTAATTTGTACAAGCGACCCGAGACTCTTGCCCGTTACTATGTGACGTCATACTGGCGGGCGGAGTGGGTCAAGAAACTTAGGTGGAAAACAATAGAGTTACCTTCCCCCACCTGACTCATCCTATTACATAATTCTATCATATTAATTTGGTTGAAAACAGTATCCACAGGAACATGAACAGAAGACTGAGGTGAGAAACGCGTAGGCCCAGAGCGGAAGAAATGGCCTTCATTTACCAAACTAACAACAGAAATGGATCAGCAACATTGGCGAGCAAATAATCGATATATTTAATTGAAGAAGTTACATATATTTGGAAAATCAAGCTTTCAGGACCATAAACCGTCGACAATGATTCAGAGTTCCTGTCTTTTTTATCTCTACTGATTCGGAAGCATTCGTCGATGTTTGGCTTTCCCTGGAAAAATCCATCGGCGAATTCTTATTATAACATAACAAAAGTAAATCGCGCGCACTGATTGGTCAGTTAGCCACTACCATTTGCCCGTGGGTGCACGCCAAGAAACTGAGCTAGCGCGGTAAAATTTAGGCAAATTCAACAAATCTCCTCTCCTGACGATAAAATACACCTTTGAAACGTACAGATGAAAAGTGGAAGTTGAAGAAAATACTAAGCTGTCGTTTTGAAGGAAAAAAGACAAAAGATCAAGCGACAAATTTGCCCTGGATGAATTAATCGCTGTTTTCCTCGCGGCTAGAATCGGCTGAAGGAAAATCGAGCGAGCGAAGATTTAAGGTACATTTTGTGTGTTTTTTAAAGAAGAGAAAGTCTGTTTGAAATGTAAATTTATCAATTAGCATTGTGTTATTTTAATAAGCGCGCTGAAAGACATCAAAATTAAAATCAAAGTTATTTCATGTATGAGATGAACCGTTCACTTGTCGCAGTAGTAAGCTGATACAATTTCAAGTTAATTTGGTTACATAGATCTCAAGTGATTATGAAAACAAAGTGGCGGAAGATTAAACTTACTCCAACAGGAAAGGTTGAAAAACAGGAAACCCAAGAAGTAGCCACCCTTCATAATATACCTATCAAAAATAAGTTGAATGTACGTTACCCGGTACTCGTCTTGCACCAAATTCTGCAGAAAACAAACGGATATAACATCAGTGCAAAATATTTTTAACTACCTCTAAACAACGCATCCATGCGTTTGACCCAGGTATTTCAGGGAGAAAATACTTCTACTTCTATACACTAGAACCATGAAGAAGGCAGACAGGATTTTGTGCATTGGTTCACTTTAGAGATCGGCGCGGAGCAGCTTTGCTCTATTACAGAAAAATGGAGCCGAAATCACCCTTCTTGTGTACGAACAGAAGCCCTATCCGGTATGGTTTTCATGCCGGTCCAAAAGCTATTCGATAAAAAGAGAATACTTCATGGAAAGTGCTGACGTGCGGTATTTACACACGAGTTGTTTTTGTATCAGAGATCGAACGAGTGAGCGCAGCGAACGAGTGAGATTTCTGATACAAAAACAACGAGTGGGTAAATACCGTACGAAGCACTTTACATGTGGTATTGTGTTTATTATATACATACTGAGACATTCATCATTTTGGTGGCCTTTTTATTTTAAATCTTTCCAAAACGCTTAAATTTGCCATTACACACCACGAAATAACAATGGAAACCAAGTATCAGCTTTTTAGTAGAAACGTTTCTTAAAAACATAAATGACGGTAAGGATATGAGGTAATCCAAGAACTACAAGTAATCTTAACTGTTTGTTCTGAATGTACAATTGAGAATGAGTGAATTTAAGTAAAATGGCCGGTTAAGCTTATAAATGGAAGACAAAGTAGCTCCGACAAAAAACACATCACAAGCTTACGT